TATTAGAAGGTGCGACCTTGCTGTAATGTAAGAGAAAAGTTGGCAGGATTTGAGGTAGGATTTAGCAGGCGATGATTTAGTCCCTAAGGTTTCTTCAATTTTCTTAGGAACATCCTAATTTTGGTGTGACGTCAGAAGCTGAAATTGTACTATTTTATAAGCAATCGTGATGGACAATGCGTCTCTTCGTTTCTGAAGCAAAAATGAATTAAATATTGAACACAAAAAACCATCCTTCTTGCAGCATTGAGAAGCGGACGAGTTTTTGTGTTTTTCAGGGACATAAATTCGAAAAAGGAAATTACACCTTTTAAAAATATAGTTTTTGGTTAGGTTAAGAAAATATGATAATGTAATTATGATAGAATTAAAAGTCGTTAAGGTGTTAAAATAACATGTATATACTCAGGACTTTTTTATTTATTATTTAAAAAAAGTATTTTAATTTTAAAAATTAAAAAAATTGTTTAGTAATTATTTTATTAAAAAATAAAAAATAATTTATTTTATTTTTAAATACTAAAAAACAATTATTATTAAAATATGTTTTTTTTCCTTCTTAAAACAATCAAAATGTTAAGAATAGAGTAATTTTTTTAGTTTCCATTCATTATAAAGATATAAATATTTAAAAATTAAACTCTTCACGTTCAAACTAAAATATTTAATGATATATTTTTTATATTACTTTTATAATAAATTTAGAATTTAAGAAATCTCTTTGTATTACATCTTCTATTACTATTTTTTTTTATTTGTCAAAAATATATGGTGTTTTAGGTAAAGAATATAAAACGTTTGAAAATGTTAAGATTGTATTAATTATAATCTTGTTTTTAATTATATGTATTATATAAATAAGAGATAAATTTCTTAAAAGTATTTTTGTTAGAAAGAAAATATTAGAATAATAATATAATAATAAAAAATAATAAATTTATTAAAAATATTAATAATTAATGATTATATTGATATGTATATCCAAACGTCTTCTATTAAACTTGTACATTTTTAGGCTGTTCAACTTCTTTTGATATTATAAATCATTTTGTTAGGAAATAACTTTTTAATTATTTTAACGGTTTCCTCAATAATAGACATTTTCTTTTAAATAGGTATTTTTTGTTTATATTTTTAATTTATTTTTATGTTATTTATAAATGATAAATAACGTTTTCTTATTTAATATTCATTCTTTATAGATGCCAAATAGTACTGAAAATAATTATTCAAAACTTTTACCTTTCTTATCTTCACTTTCTAATATTTATAAAAAAAATATTTGTAAAGAAACAAAAAATATCTTAGACTAAAGTAAAATACACTTGTTAAAAAAATATATAAAAAATTATATCTAAACTGATTTTATTGCTTTAATTTTTAAAATTATTTTTAAAAACAATTTTATCAATTTTTTTCATTTTTTTGTTTCTAAAATATTTTTTAATTATAGTTGTTAAACAAACACTTTTTTCTCTAACTTATTCTCAAAAATATTTTTTTAAATTTATTTACTAGAACTATTTATTAAAACTAAAAAATAAAACTTAATCAAGTATTCAATTTTACAATATATTACAAACACAAGAATAAATTATATATAAAGCTAACATTTTTATAAATATCCCCTGATTTTACAAAAAATCATTTCCATTTTTTATTTATTATATAATATATAATATAACTTCTATATCAAAATATTTGCATATAGATTTATAAATAGATTTCAATATAAATGCAAGAGAAAATATCCTATACTAAGTAAAAAGAAAACAAATAGGAAATTAGTATTCATTTATTAAAAATTAATTTCAGAAACTAGATAAAATAAAATATTGAATAAATTATTTAAGTAACAAGAAAAAAAAACAAAAAAATGCATTTATTTTAACAATAATAAATTAAATCATTTTAATTTTATCACTGTAATTTAGATGTTAAGAGAAATGTAAATTTCTCCGTTTCATTTCATAAAAAAACAAACAAAAAAATCTGCATGAGTTTTAATTTTGTATATGCTTTACATTTTAATATTTGTACATATATAGATGTCAATAAAAAAATTCAAATATATGTAACTAAATAAAAAAAACAATATTTATATAAGCAAAATGATAATAATAAATGAGAAAAAATAAGAATTTATTTTTTAAATAAATTTCTTCTTATAAAAATTTATAGAAAATACATATATTCTAAATTTATTAATACAAAATTAAATTAAAAAATATCTAACTTTATAATTTATCATTGTTGCTTCATATATATTATTTATATTATATATTTTATATATATATATATATATATATATATATATATATATATATATATATATATATATATATATATATATATATATATATACCTAAATGTTTTGTCTAAAAAAGTGTCACATTGTTGTGTAACAGTATGAAAGTCAATTATTATTCGATTTGGAGTTTAGTCTCTCACATCTTCATTACTAAAATATTTTGCGAAATTCATACTAAATATAAAAAATTATACTATTTTTTTTATTAAACCTTAACTAAAATAAAATTTAAATGTTTATCTATCAAATAATGCGACAACCAATAAAAAATAAATAAAAATTTATTTAAAATATATTTGTACACATTAATAATATTTATTTTATATGTATTATAGAAAATAATTAAACATTTCTTTGATTCTATTTCTATTTTTTTTAAAATTATTTTGATTATTTTCCCATTCATGCAAACTTATGTATGTATATATTAATCAATATATCCGCATATCTATGTCATAAAATTAATACAACATTCATAAAATTCACAAACACATAAATAAAAAAATATCGTCTCAGTGGACATGCTAATTTATGTTGGGTAGAAATAATTTAGTTAATTTTATTTATTTTTTTATCTAGTCACTATTAACAATTATATAATTTCATTTGAAATTTGCGTAAACTTTTCTTAACAGATTAATACTTCGAGTGTAAAATTTGTCGTGCAACAGACTTTAATCAATAGTTTTAAAATTAAATAATATACTATTAATAAATATAAAAAATAAAAGAATATAAAAAGTTAAAATTCTAATTTTTTTTATTTAATATATTTTAATGATTTATTTGATATTTATAAAAAATAAAATAAAAAATTATAAATATATAATCATTAAATTTAAAGAAAAAAATTGTAATATAAATAAAGATAAGAGTCTTCCAAGAAGTTTCCTTTCCAATACAACCTTTTAATTTTGCATTAATACCTGACTTAACGATGTTGGCCATGTTAACAGTCAGTTGCATCAGACGTTAAATGGAATTTTTTTTAATTATGTTAATAATTATAATTGTTTATGATAATTATTAATTTAAACATGTTATGTTTATCTTGTGATCATAAATAGTTTGTATAGATAGTTTTTTAATATATATTAAATTTTATTTGATTCAACCTATAAATAAATTAACAACACCTTTTAAAACATATCCAGAATTATTTATTATTTTTACAAACTGATTGGGACAACTTGGGTCACCTGTTTTTGTTTGGTTGAGACATGTTTGTTTCCAGTACAATTATTGTATTTTAACCAATAATAACTTTTTATACATTCTCGAAAAATCTAAAATAAGGTTTTGATCTTCATCATAACCTATTTAATCCCCTTAATAATTAAATATATATTTTTTTTAACTAAAATTTAAAGATTCCTTTCATATTGTAACTTTTTAAACGTTAAGTGCAATACATTTTTTTGTTTCTTCTTGAAATTTTCACACATTATACTTTAAAGTCAAATTCTATTCTTTTTTATTTTTTTTATCATCTTAATAATAAATTGATGATTCTATCCAGATCAATTCAATCATAGTCAGTTTGATTGGATTCACATCAAAAACCTAAATTAAAAAAAAAATGGTTTAATTAAAATCAATTCATATTTTAAAAAAATGTCACAAATTCAAGAAAATCCTGGTCACATCTAATCATAATTAGATAGTGAGGTAGAATCAATGGTTTCCCTTTTTGCCTCCAATAAACATGGTAGTCCAATGTAGAAATGATTGGTGTGAAGTTGTGGTGAGAGTGGTTGCAAGGTAGTGGGTTGAAAGATCCAACCTGATGAACATAGAACAACGGTGGAGACTGTTTTAGTGACTAGTGAAGTGGTTGGATTGGTTTTGTTGTTTTCTTATGGAATATTACAAATATTAAGAATCGGTTGGGTTGATTGCATGTCTTTTTGTTGGATGCTGATATCTCATCTTTGATGTAACCATTCTTTAGTTACCACTTCAAATATTTCAAACACATCATCTTCATCTTCATCTTCATATTTCTTTTATTATCATAAATACTCTCCTTTCCCATTACCAATAAAAAAATGTTACATAATTGTGATGGTGTGAAAGTGATTTATTAACTCTCTGTTCTGAAGCCAGGTTGAAGTTTATTTGATCTCGTGGTACCTAGATTTCATCACTGATTAGAGAAGTTTCTTTCTTTTAACAACTTTCACATTAATATTTAAAAAGATTTTATCATTCATTTCTCTACATTTTAAACAACTCTAAACACATAGATTAGTGAAAGTTTTACAAATTCTAATACATTTTTTTTTTCTTCCTATCAGAAATAAAGTGTATTATTTTAAAGAGGAAATTTAAATAACATGACTTCTGAAAAAAAGTGCCGGGTTAATTGACATTTATGTAACAGCACGAATCATGGTTTAATTTAATTCATCGAATAAATTAATCTATACATTCTGTGGTTGACACCACTACCTGTGCTGTGCAAGTCTAATACAAAATAATACAAGCACTGAATTTATTTAATAAAATTAAAAACCCATTAAAAAAAGAAACCTAAATTGATTATAAAAAGACCAAAAGATTATATTTTAGTCAAAATAAGACCTATTGATCAATTAATAAAATATATTTCAAAATTAATATTTTAAAATATTAGGTTTTGAAAAATAAATCGTCGCCTGAGAGATTCGAACTCTCGCGGAGAAACCCCATGTACTTAGCAGGCACACGCCTTAACCACTCGGCCAAAGCGACATCGTTGAAAATATAATAACTTATTATTATTTATTAGTAAAATCAATAAGTGTTATGCTATGTCTTTAAAAGGTTACATTAGAGAAGTATCAAATAAAAGAAAAAAAAAAAAAGGGGAAATGCGATAGAGAAACGAACCATTGAAGTCGGTGCGGGCCCTACTTTTTTTTTTCTCTCTCTAAATTCCCCACCCAACTCACTCCTCACACTCTCATTATTTGTGCTTCTCTCCTCATTTCCTCCGCCACCGCCACCACCACAACTTCCTCCGATGGAGACGGCGGCGGAGCCAGAACCGAAGACCTACTGGTGCCATGAATGTGACATGAGCGTGTCCCTCACGCTCCCTCCCTCCCCTCTCCTTTGCCCCCACTGCCACACCCACTTCCTCGAACTCATGGACTCTCCCTTCTCACTAAACGACGCCGAATCACCGCTACTTGATGTCGTTTTCCAGGACGCGCTCTTACTTCTCTCCCCCAAGCCCCTCCCCTCCAAATCCCGTCCTCTCCCCTCCGTCCACGTCACCGCCGCGCTCCTCTCCGCTCTCGACCCCAACGGCGTCGTTCTCTGCGCCGTGTGCAAAGACCAAATTGCCCTCGATGCTGAGGCCAAGCAGTTACCCTGCAAACACCTCTACCACGCCGAGTGCATCACGCCGTGGCTTGAGCTCCACGCATCGTGCCCGTTGTGCAGGCTCCGCCTGGAGGAAGAGGCGGAGGAGGAGGAAGAGGAAGGTGACGGTGTGGTGACGGAGATCCGGAGGGAGCTGATCGCCAGGCTGACGGAGTTGACGGAGGAGGATTTCTACGGGCTGAGGACCACGCTCAGCCACATTGCCTCGCGTCACGCGCTCATCGAAGAGAACGAGAACCGCGCCCAAATCGGGGAACCTCGAGGTGGCGAACCGCCTTTGCTATAAGGTGCTCTGTCTTTTCTTTTCATTTTCTTTCTCAGAATTTAGACTCATGGCCTTAGGTGCATCGCTTTTAATGCTAATTTACACTAGAATTCAGGGTCTGATGAAGGGAGCTTCTCCATAATCACTTTTAGAAGAAAAAAAAATGTTTTTTTCATTAACTAAGTTGAAAATAAAATTTGTGCATTTTTTCTCGACTATAATTGTTTGTGGAGGAAGTCATCCAAAGAGCCCTCAATGTAAACTTATATTGTCCTGATTATATAGGGCTGATTTTGAACTTGAGACTCGAATTTTGGTTGGAGATGATCGTTTGAGTATAGAACTTTGTTTAGGTTAATATGTGTGTGCGTGTGTTGTAATTGCCGAAGAGTATTATTGATGGCCAACACTGATTGCAATTTTCAACTGGGACCTTTAAATTTGATGGATGATTTTCTGTATTTTATTGAAGGAGGGGATTCGTTATAATTACTGAGTGGATATCGCATAATTCAAGATTGCTGAAACTGGACTTTTATGGCTGTTTATTTTTGCCTAAAAATTGTTATGAATTTGATGCTTGTTGTTGACTTGAAGCTGTTTTTTTTTTTTCGTATTGGATTGGGGAACGGAAGATAAGTGTCAATAGACTATAGCCGATTCACTGGGATATTATGTCTATGTACTAGAATGTGATTGGATAAACATTTTAATTAAGAGCTTAATCAATAAGTGCTTGTCATGTAAGTACTTACATGAGTTGTTTTTTTTAGTTGAATAATGAAGTCTTTGTTTGGATAAAGTTCTTTTAAGTACTTGTAAAAGAAGAAGAAAGAAGAGGATAAAATGTCTTGAGTTTTATGCGCCTTAATATTTGGAGACGTTGAATGGATCCTATTTGGATAAGTTTTTCCATAAGTATTTATAGGGGAAAATTAAGAATGAAAAAAACAAAGTTTTTGCTATAAGATAAAACTAGTTTATGTATTAGTTAAAAAAACTTTTTAGAGAAACTTAAAATTATTTAACTTATTCGAAAAGTTGATTTTTTAAGTTTTAGATAAGCTAATTTTAGATTATGGGAGAAGTTTATTTCATGTTTGCTTATTTTCTTCTTTCATTAGTGTTCCTGTAGGTGTTAAATGAGAAATTTATCCAAATAGGAGCCAAAAAGAAAATCTATGAAAGTCAGGTGTAACTTAATCCATCCTACCTTCTATGATTTTGTTTATTTCTTATAATAGTACTTGTAGAGAAATTTATTCAAATAAATTCTAGATATATTAAATGATAAGTTTAAATTAGCTCAAAATAAGTTAGCAACTTCAACCATTTTCTGTCTGCTGCAGGATAGTCAGTAGTGCTAATATTGCCTTGTGGGATCATAAGCTTAATCTAATGTCGTTGTCACCCACTTTTATTGACCATATATCTTCTATTCTGAAAGAGATTCAATTGTTGCTTATACACTAATGGCGGTGCTGCTATGATATGTGATTGCAGGTATATAGTATTAAAATAATGTTGAAGTTGTATCACCATAGATCGTCTTGTCAAGTGTAAATCTGCACCGACGATTATGCTGCATCTTTTCTTTCCCTTTTTTTTTTGGGAATCTCCAACTATAGTTGTAGTGTTATAGCCAAAAATACAATAAACTGATGGAGTGCACGAGTAATGTGCACTTCTCTTCCCGTCTTCCACTATCTATCTATGTTGGTCCTAGGAACTGGTCTTCCTTAGCCAAATTTCTTCTCCATTTTAGGGAATAAAATCTTGTGTAAAATTTAGCTTTCATGTGTTGTGTATGAATTGCTCAAGTGGATGGATTCTTCCCACTGAATCATTTCTTTTTTCTTTTGGCATTACAATGGATGATAGTTTTCCTGCCTATATTTCTGTAGTTATTGAGATTATTGAGGGATTGAATTATTTGAGTGTGGATATGTACCATGGAAAAGCCTTAAAATGCATATTTTGTTGTTGCGTGTAAGTTGTGTTGTGACCTATATACTTAAGGAATGTTGTGAACTAAACATCAACCTCTTTTCTTCCAAATGATTGTGATGGAATTTGATGATTCAGAGAGCGGGTGGATGGTTTTTTATCTTCATATCGGTGGAATAAATGTTATTATCTATCTTAAAATGAAATATAAAAACTAAAAATAATAATTTAAAATTTTGAACGGATGAAAGTAATAAAAAAAATTATATAGATAAATTTAACATTCAAACATTTTATAAAGGCTTCGAGAGTGGTTTCAAATTTTATAAGAATGAAAAACGAACAAATATTTATACGGACCAAAACTTATTAATTTTATAAAGACTAAAAACTATATTTCTAATTTCTTTTTAATTGAACATAAGATTTTAAACTGGATATTAGGTATGATTTCTAAATGGCATTTTATATCATCCTCAAAACATATTAAAACTAATTATTTATACAAATTTACTTCAGTCCATACGCGTTAGATATTAAGAATATGTTTGAATAAATTTCTTTCTATGTTTTGTAAGTCAATTAGTTTGTCTATAAATTTATATTTTTCAGTTGTGAAAAGTTAATTTTAGTTTATGAAAAAGATATTTATATACTAATTTTTTTTAACGGAAAGTTTGTTGAGTTGAGGCCCAAAGACGAATGATTGATAGCTTAAATAGGAAAGGTTAGTGTTTAGGTGGGGAAGGCATTGATTGAGTGATGAATTAACAGATAAACCTTTTGATGAATGTCCCACATCGATCATAAACAGTTCCTTAGACACTCTTCAAAACCTTTCCAACCCAAGTTTACCATCCTAACACGTATAAGCAGGTGGCACCCGTGTGGTGCAAGTCAATTTACTTCCCTTCTTTTACACTTCATCAATACTTCATTTTACGCTATTATTTTCTCGACAATCTATCTATTCACAATTTTACTTTTTAAATATTTATCTATAATTATTAAAAATGACGGATGAGAGAAAACGTCCAACTTTTTTCCATAAAAAAATATATAAAAAATTGTAGAGATAAACGAAATTATTATTAAACTCTACTTCTAAATTATGTGTTATCTTTTGGAAATACTAAAGCAGTTAACATATTGAGTGAACTAGAGAGAAAAATAAAAATAAAAATGGAAGAGTAACATCACATCACATGGTGTCGCACAAGAACAGGGGTTAAAATCGATTGATGAATCACCACCTTCATCAGAAGCCCTAAATTGACCAAATTTTTATATCTTTCACAAAACGTGCCAACTTAACCTATTCTCATGTGTCAACATGCAATCCTGGGTTTTCCCTTCAACTATGATACTTTATTTCCAACTACACTTACAACACGTATTCCCACACGTCAATTTCTAGATAACTACGAAAATTCCACCTCAACCCTACATATTCAACGTGAAACACGGGGTCAACATTCCATGGTGTTCCATGCTTTACTTTTCCAAATCACTGCTCCAAAACATGTCCCTTTTCCTCCCACGCATTAAAAACTATAAAAGGACCCTTGCATGCCACTTCTCTCCATAACTCATTCATCAATCCATTCATTGCTCACTTGCAGATCAAAACTTACATTTGTGTTGGCAGAAAACAACCTCAAAAGATGGAGATCAGCTTAGGAGACACGTTGATCAAGGTTGCTGTGTTCATACTGGTTCAAGCTTTGGTGTACCTTATCCTTTCCAATTCATCAAACATCTTCTCCAAGAACATCAAGAGAGCCAACAGCTTCAGGCCTGCACGCTCGCTGAGCATTCGTCGGATGATGGCTTTGATCTCTGACTTTCCACCTGAAGGGGAACCCTCTCCTTCTCCAAAGGGTCCTAAATCACCATCACTTCAAAGTTAAGTGATTATCAATTCCAAGGTTTTGAGATTACAAATTGTAAAAGGTTGAGACGATTAAGTTTATGGGGTGGCCTCATTAAGGTTCACAAACCTCCAAAATCATGATCTTTGATTGCAATTGTGGTTATGGAGTGTACTTCAAAACCTTAAACTAGACCAAGTTGTATGTAAATTATTTTTCTTTCTCTGTTTCTTAGTGTTGAGGCTATGTATTAAACAGTCCAAAATCATTGGGTTGTTTTAGGTATTGAATTCTTTTGTTCATTTATTTTTTCACGATGAATTGTGTACTATATCTGTGAGTGGAATGTTGATATTCATTTACTTTCGTCACTTGTTTCCATTTGAAGCTCTGAACTAAGAGAAACTTTTTAACATATTAGCACTAGCACAGAGTTGCATATCAGGTTAATTACTCTTTTTTTTAATACCAATGTTCTGACATTAAAACTACTGTTTCTACATAATTTGCAAGTAGAAAAGAAAAGATGTTGCTTATTTTTTATTCATAACAGACGCATTTGACTTTTTCCCCTTTTTACTCTTTGCCTATTTGTGTATGCATGAAAGGATGATGATTAAGTATACAATATCGCATAAGAAAACTATTTTTGTAATGGATTGATAAAAGTTACGTGGATAAAAGCACCTTATCCAAAATCTGAAAGGTGTGATGGTTTTATTTGAATAGTTGAGTTCAGATTGATACGTACAAGACATGAAAAGATGATATTCCATTTTGAACTATTTGAAGAGAATAATATTCCATTTTGAGCCACACTTTGCAGAGACGCCACGCGTTTATTCTCTGTTCAGAATTATTTCTTTCAAGTAATAACAAACCATATTAGTTCAGAAACTATCATTGTGTCTATTTAATTATTCAAATCACAAAATATTCATATTAATCTTTTCATTTCTACCAAAAAAACCTAGATGGAATGTTTTCAAAATGAAAACATGAATTCAGTATTTAAAGTTCATTATGAGTTCAATCAATATTTGATCAGATTTAATAAAATTATATTTTTAAAGTATATTAAATATATAATAAGTTTATTAATAACAAATTTTTTTATAAAAAAGAAAAATAATAAATGTTAAATTATAATAAAGGTTATAAATATAAAATAAACTAGAGTATAAAATGAATTATAATTAAAATTAGATGAAAATATGATATAACTTTTTGAAATCTGGTTTTATTCATTAAATTAATAATATAAATATATAATAAGTTATCGTTAATCAACAAATTACAATAACTAAAATTATTTATGATTAGGCTCAAAATCTCTTAAATATAATAATAATAAATAATTATAATGATAATATTTCAATAATATTTTAATAATTTCAATATTTTTTTTAAGTTAGAACATGAAGATCTCGAATGTGTAATTTATAAAGAAGAAATTTAAATTATGTTTTCACATAGTCTTTGTAAAAATGTCTCGCTAGTTGTACCTTAGTAGGAATATATGAGGGATAAATGATGTCGGCTGTTATCGCATTACGAATAAAATGATAATCAACTTTAATATATTTCGTTCTTATTTAGCCTCTACAGAAGAATGAGAGACTATTAATTGTTTCTTAGTTTTCCAAGACATCAGAGAAGAACCAAGAAGCATCCAGCCGGTCAAAGAATGTCTTGAGTGGGCAGCCTGCCAAATCCGAATCACACCATCCCTCTAAATTCAATTTACTATACCTTGGCCCGAATGTTTCTTCAAATATTTAATAACTCTTTAGGCTACCTTCCAATTCTCTTCATGAGGTTGTTGCATAAACTGATATAAAACATGTATAAAGTAAGCAAGATTAGGTCTAGTCATAGACAAATAAATTAATCACCTAATAAGTCTTCGATAGGGTTATGGATCTTCAAGTGGTGTCCAGAAGCCAATGCTAGCTTATGTTGTTCCATTGGAAAATTCATAGGCTTGACACCTAATAAACCTATATCTTCAATGATTTCCAATGCATATTTTCTCTGATAGAGATAAATCCCCTCAGGATTGTTGAGATGCAGATATTTAATTAGTTAAATTATAGGTTTGTATAACTGTACAAAATCGTGCATAATCAAAACTTACTTTATTTAGTCCTGATTTGTAGGAGTAAAATACTATAAGAATATGGTATCTGTATCCAAAAAAGATATGAATAAAAATTATAGAATGAATTCTATGTTTTTCAATTTAGTATCAGAACTTAAAATTTTTTTCTTTTTCCTTCTAAATCCTTGGAGATCTTAACTGGAGAGATGACAGAAAAACCAATTCCAGTGGTAGTTCAATCTGAAGGTGTCTTCAAAGTAGACATAATCCTAAATGAATCCAACTATAACATATGGTCACAACTAATGGAGATGCACATTGCAGAGAGGAAAAAATTGTCCTACATCCGTGGGAAGATGAAACCTTCAATAGAGAAAGATGAGAGATATGAAAAAAGGCATGCTGAAAACCAAAAAGTGAAAAGATGATTACTAATGTCCATGAAGGTAGAAATCATGAAAATATATCTCCGCTTACTCACTGCCCTCGATATTTAGAATGTTTTGTCAAAGGTGTTTTATGATGGAAGTGATGAGCTACAGGTGTTTGTCCTGAATCAAAGGACATTCACTGCAAAACAAAATAATAGAACCCTAACTGAATATTTTGGGGAGTTAGTTGAGATTTTTAGGTAATTAGACCATCGTGATAAAGTAGTCATGAAGGACCTTGATGATGTGAAGTCATATCAGAAGTCCATTGAAAGATTGAGGGTGTATATATTCCTTATTGGACTGGATGATGATTTTGAGCAAGTTCATGGAGAAATCTTGCGCGAAGAAGTGAGACTTGATTTGGAAGAATGTTATGCATTGATCTGGAGAGAGACAGTCTGGCGAACAACGTTGAAAACAGAAGATATGATTTCTAATTCCACAGCTATGATACTTGCTACAACCATAGGTAGTGATGAGTCCAATGGTAAGGCCTTAATAAGTACATCTATAATTCTGAATAATGCATCGATAATTGATTCTGCATGTTCTAATCATATGACTTTTGATGTTATACAAATTAAAAATCTTAAACCTTCCTCACAAGAAAGTATCCACATCCAATGGTAGTAAATATACTATCATTGGAGAATGAACTGTCTTTATTTCAAACCATTTGAACTTTGATATTGTCTTTGTTGTTCCTTATCTTAAATATAACTTATTGTCAGTCTCGCAAATAACCAAAACTCTTTTATGTGTTGTAATTTTTGGGCCTGACTCTTGTGTTTTTAAGGACATTCAAACGAGGAAGATGATTGGTTGTGGTGTTAGGTGAGGAAGGTTGTATTACTTGGACCTGATAGAAAGGATTCAAAGAGATTTGATCAAGTGCTAGCAATAAAAGGGTCTCAAGAAGTGAGAAAAAGCAAAGATATTTGGTTATGATATAAGCGTCTACGACATGCAACTTTTGGTTACATAAAGAAACTATTTCCAAATGTGTTTGACCAAGTAAACACTTCAACTTTGTATTGTGATGCTTGTGAGCTTGCAAAGAGTCACAGAACATAGTTTTCTTTAATTTCAAATAAAAGTTCTCTTCCTTTTATGATCATTCACTCTGATGTATGGGGTCCATCTAAGGTTACAACGTTGGGTGGCTCAACGTGGTTTGTAACGTTTATTGATAATTGTACTCGAATTACTTGATCATGTTTGATGAAATCTAAAAGTGAAGTTAGAGGAATATTTCAGAAATTATGCAAAATGATTGATATCCAGTATAAAACACAAGTTCAGGTATTGTGCAGAGACAACGAAGAAGAATATATGTAATCAGAACTTCAATATTTTTTAGTAGCCAAAAGAATTATTCATCAGAGATCTTGTCCAAATCCTCCATAATAAAATGAGGTGGCAGAACGAAAGAATCGTCATCTATTGGAGGTAGTCTGAGCTGCACTGATTGAGCTCACATGCCAATAATATATTAGAGAGAAACTCTCACATATGCAGTATACACTATCAACCGAATATCATTCAGGTCTCTTGAGTATAAAATAGTTCTTCAATCACTTACAGATGCAGTAGTAAGTCCTAGAATTGCTGAACTAACATATAGAGTTTTTTGTTGTGTTGCTTATGTTCACTTACACAAGCATCAGAGAAGTAAGTTGTCTCCTAAAACTGAAAGGTGTGTGTTTCTTGGCTATGCGGATCACCAAAAAGGATACAGGTGCTACAATCCACAAACCAAGCAAATGTTTACTACTATAGATATAGTTTTTCATGAGACCGTGATATATTTTTCCCCTAAGTCTGAAATTCAGGAGGAGAATTATGATGAAGTTCAAACTTTTTTTCCTTAAGAAATTGATACTGAGGTCATATTGGAGAAAGGAAATTACAAAGTTATATGAGGAAATGATGAAAGTGTGCAACAATGTGATGATCAACAACTACATAATGAGGAAGAATTTGAGCATATTGAGATCAAAAATTTGCCTATTGATACTAATGATATACCACACCAATCATCCCCTCAAGAACCTAATACAGAAAAAAGAATTCTTCCTGATCGTGTCACTAGAGGTATCCTTAAGCCTACTTATGATCCTGACCTCACCAGTAAGACAAGATACCCTATGAGTAATTATATTTGTAACCGGAATTTGTCTAACTTAAATATCGCATTTATAAGTTAATTATCTATTATATATATTCCTAATAGTGTGCAGGAAGTTTTAGTTAACTCCAGGTGAAAGGATGCTATGAATGAGGAGATGAGATCCTTGCAAAGAAATAAAACTTGGGAATTGGTAGATTGTCCAGTTGGAAAGAAACTAGTAGGATGCCGATAGGTGTATACTGTGAAATTTAATGCAAATGATACAATTGAGAAATTCAAAGCTAGATTAGTGGCAAAGGGGTATACACAAGCATATGGAATCGAATACACTGAAATGTTTGCTCTCATAACCAAAATTAGTACAGTTCGAGTA